GCAACCCCTCCCCAACGAGCAGGCAGACCACCCTCCCCCCCCCCCACACACACCCCACCCCTCCCCTCCCCCCGCCCCCCCCCCCCCCCCCGCAGAAATGAAAACAGGAAGTCTGTGCCTAATGACGCCAGCCAGCCTCGGCCTAGAAAGAAAGATCCCTGCATCTGGTCCAGATCTGAATACCTCAGTTGGGCCACTCCACCCAGGGGCCTAAGGAAACTCCCAGGTTGGTGGCTGGGATTGCAGTTTGGGGACAAGTAGGGAAGGAGAGTTCCTAGGTTTAAGGGCCCAGGAATCGAGCTATATCGTGGGGAATTTTAAGGCAGTAGTTTTTCTGGGCCAGGAAAGGGGCCCATGTGAACAATTTAGGCTGTTAAGAGGTCTTCCTTCTGAAACCTTTCGCTAAAAACAAGCTGACTGTAAGCCAACATCACAACTTCGTTTGGCAGCTATACCACACCACACTGCCCGAGAGCCCTGAGTTGGAATGGCCTGAGGCCAATCAGGCCTCCCCCATCTCATACTTGGAAAGCTGCTGGTTTGAGCCCAATCTTGGTGTGGCCACTCCCTCTGGAACGAACGTGAAAATGTCTGATCGTGGACTCAAAGCAGGTGGGCAGAGAACGGGCAGATGTCTCCAGGATCTCTCTTTGGACCCATCACAACCACCCCTATGCCATACTTCGGAGAGGGTACCTGAAGTATTGCCCACCCTTGCTATTTTTCATTAATGTGGAGAAGGAGCAGCTGTGGAAATCTGGAAGGGTCTTGATAGATTCAGCTTGTAATTGAGCCAAATCAGGGCAAGCAGCATGGGTGGTACTGGAGTCGTTGGTCAACCCAATCTACCCTTCCACCCTGGAGAGCCTGCGAGGCCTTGGCCTCCACCAAAACGTTACGCCAGATCCTTGCAGTTGGGGGTGGGGATCCCCTTAAAAGATCTGTTCTGTGAAGTTGTGATTCAGTCAAAGGACCGAACTTGAGGACCTAGAGGACCACATGTGGCCTCGTTTGAAGGTTCCCCATCCCCATCCTCAATGCTGCCCCCACTTCACACCACCTAAACCAGGCTGCGGGTGAGTCTGCCTCTTAAGTCGTCAGCGAGCTTCCATCCCCCAGCCTTGCTGGCCGTCCTGTCTCCTGAGCACACCTTCCCCAGACTGGTGTCTTCGAGTGCTGAACGTCCATGGAGCAGGAGAGGCACCATCTCCAACGTTAGCCGTGTGGACAGGGGCCAGTCACCTCACCTATTTCAGCCTCATCAATAAAACTGAGAATACCTTTAGTACTGATCTTCAAGGTGGTTGTAGGGATTAAGCACTACTAACCCTTAAACCATCTGTCACCACCATTCTTCCTTCCCAGGCTACAAGGTGTTTCCTTGCAGCCTGAAAAGGCAGGCAACTATGGAAGGCCCCCACCCAGCTGCAGGCCAAACCAGTCTTACCCTGCCCCTGGGCCCTTTCAGTTGTACCATGGGAACATCTGGGCATCTCTCCAGCATGGTTTTTCTGGAGTTCTGATTCTCCGCCACCCCAATTCGAGGAGAAAATATGAACAAGGGAAGGGTCAGGAAACAAAACTACTGGGTCTAGACTGTATGAACTATATGACTGAGTTCAATTTACTGCAATCAACCAAGCACCCAGTAAAAGCCAGGCACTGTGCTAGGTTACGTCCCTGAAGGGCTCTCCCTCCTGCTGAGCCAGGGTCCTAGAGAAGTCAACGTGCGCTTGCTGGAGATGGAGTCTTGTCTCAAATATTTGGTTCCAGGTTTCAGGCTCCAGAGCTAGATAAGCGCTCCACTTTTTCTCCCCTATGTTTTCAACCTTACAGGGATATAGAAGCAGGAGAGCCCTGGCTACAGGGCCCCAAATCTTTGTCAACAAAGCCTTCCTTGACTACTCAAGCCCACATTAAGCTCTCTCTTCTCAGCCCTGTTACTTAGAACCTACAGCAGCCATTTCAGCACTTTCTCTACTGTTTTGCCTCTTGTCTCCACAACCAGGGGACAGGGCTTATATTTTCGATTCCTCGAGGGGGAAGGGGGCAGGCCATCAGAGGTCTGGGCACATGGCTTATATTAAATTATATTAAATTCAAGATTAACGTCAAAGACCGAGGGATGGTTGTGTGGGTTTGGTTTTGTGGGTTTTCATTTGGCTGTTGCTGTTTCTTGTTGGGAGGTGGGGGAGGCGGTGAAGACCGTGACCAGGTACCGAGAGTGAATCAAGCCTCCACATGCTGTTCTTGGACTGAGGAAAGAGCAAGAGAATGACGCAGTGTGATCTAAGGACCATGAAATGTGTTTGGGCACGGTAACAGCATGGGAAGGCCCCTTCCTAGGTTTCCTCCCTGTCCTACAGCCCAGTACCCAGTAACAGCATTGCAACTGACCGTGCCCCTGATTCCAGCATCCTAGGGGAACCCCTAAGATTCTGGGAAAGTACCTATCTATCTAGTGGTCACTCTCCCTCAACCTCTTCCTCTGTCCAGCTCAAATCGTCATCTGAATCCTCAGGTTCCTCTCCAATCATCCCAGGCCCAACATCCTCCCCAACCTTCTCAGCTGGCATCCCTGTGCCTGGCTGCTCCAGCTGGGCCCAAGGCCCTGGGTCAGCCTTGCTCAGGGAGATCTCTGCCCGCGATGGCATGAGGGAGACAGAGCTCTGCTTCACAGCTATGACCTGGAGAAAAAAGACAGAACAACTTGGGAGAAGATTACAGGTAGAGACGAAGAAAGAGATAGGGGGGTATAAGGGATAAGAAGTTACACAGAAGTCAACATGAAGGGATGAACAGGGAGAAAGGGAGATAGAGGAGAGAAGAAATCAAAGCAGGTGGCGAGAAAGCCTCCTCAACCTTCCCACTCAAAGCCTCTCAATGCCTGCCCCGACCTCCAGAGCTTCCAATGAGACCTTTCCACCCACTCCCCCAACTTCACTTACCCCCCAGAGTGCCATTTGTTCCTGGAAAACCCGGTTACCCTCAAAAGATATGTAGATATGAAGCTGAAAGGGAAGAGAAACAGGTGCGGACACAAACACAGGTGAGGGGTATGGCCCTCCCTCAGTCCAGCAGCCAACTTGTGCCTGACCAGTACCCTCCCCAGAATTAGCAGCACACTCACCTTGGTCGGACTGGCCTTCACCCAGCTGAGTGCAGGCAGTGGGCTCTGGCCATACACAGTCACCACTACTACAGAGGCTGTCTGGTGCCAGTCGTGGCGGCAGGAGACCCATTGCTGAGGACAACATAACAGAATGATGAGGTTTCCAAACCCATTTGATTATCTAATAGGTTATAATGCTCAGGGCACCCAGTGGAATCCCAAGGAAATGTACCTGCCTCCCATCCCAAAGCACCTGGACAGTCACTAAGGAGTAGGATGTCACTGTGACAGTGCAAGGAAGGGGCAGGGTTCGAGCCAAGAGGTCAAGCAAGATGGGAGTCCACAGATCAGGCTCACCTGCTTCTTCCAGACATGTCTACCAAGGCTGCATCCTGGCTGTGCCAGGAACACGCTAAAGTCCACGGTTGTTACACCACAGCAGCTCCAAGATTTCATCCTGTGGTGGGAAGGCCATTAAGGTGCGTTTGCCCCTTCTCATACCTCAACTCTCCGTGGTCCTGCAAATACAGCTCCACCCTATCCCTTCCCTTACCCCTCATGGAATCGAGGCCCTCCAGGATGGAAGCGGCAGGGGCCAGCATCACTCTCAGAGCCTTGGAACACCTTGGAAGGAGTGGGAAGTAGGGAGAAAGGCAGGGAGAGAATAAGGGGACATGTGAGAGCTACCCCACTTCCAGTTTCTCACTGACACCTAACCACTCCTCAAATCTCCCCAGGTTTCACTTACAGCACCACATCCTGGATTCTGGCAGATGGAGCCAGGACGCACCACAGTGTTGGGGAGTCCTAAACAGAGGAGACAGGAAGGTCAACAAGGATAGTTCTTCCCACCTTGAAATTCCACCTGCATCTCAGGCTAGATGTCCCATAGACATCTTAAATGCAAGATGTGCAAAAGGGAAGGCCTTAGCTTTCCTTGAAACCCTTCCTCACTCAGCCCCTGTATTCAACCAACTAGATGTCATTGATCTCACCAATCTTCTACCTTCTATCTCTCATATAGACCTCCTCCTCTCCTCTGACACCCCCCCCCCCACCCTGGCACAGGTCCTCATCGCCTCACCCCTGGACTACCACAGTAGCCCGCTTGGAGGTGGGGGGTGTGCCCCACCTGCCTCCAAGCTCCCCCTATGCCAAGCCATCCTCTGTTCAGCTGCTAATGTTACTAAAGCACAAGTGTGACCACATCACTCTCCCTACTCCACAAACTCCACTCCCATCCAGTAATGGGAGCCACAATCCAGTGGCTCCCTAATATCAACCTCAAGGATCAGTAAGAAAATCATCTGGCTTTTAAAGCCCTTCACAGTCCAGCCATCTCCCACCTTTCGAGTCTTTCCACAACTTCCTCCCATCCCAAGTCCTGGAGCCAGCGATTCGGGCCCCTTGCCATTCCTCCCACGAGGTACTCCATCTTGGGACTGTGCATTTTCTCCCTTTTTAAAAAACTTATTTTCAGTTCCAAATCATCCCACTCCCCAACCCAATGAGAAGGGAAAAACACGTCCCCCCCTTTACAAATCCATACAGTCACGCAAAACAAATTCCTACATTAGCCTGGGAGAGCCCGGGGTAGCCCAAGTCTGGACTCGGAGTCCATCAGCTCTGTCTGGAGGCAGAGAGCATGCCCATCCTGAGCCTTGTGGAAGTGTGCGTGCTCACTTAGACTCTGTGCACTTTCACTGGTCAGCTCCCATGCCTGCAACCCTCCCCCTGCTCATCACCTCCTGGCTTCCCTCAGGTCTCAACTGAAATCCTACCACCTTTTTTTTTTTGTTTGTTTGTTTTTGGTGAGGCAACTGGGGTTAAGTGACTTGCCCAGAGTCACGGAGCTAGTGTTTTATGTGTCTGAGGCCGAATCTGAACTCAGGTCCTCCTGACTCCAGGGCTGGTGCTCTATCCACTGCGCCACCTAGCTGCCTCCAAAATCCTACCTTCTCTAGAAGTCTTTCAAGGCTGCTCTTTTGCAACCTCTGGCACTTTCCCCAACATTCCCTTCTACTTAGCCTATTTCTATCTTGTATGTACACAGGCGTTTGCATGTTACTTTCCCCATTTGCCTGGGAGTGACTTGAGAACAGGCTTAGCCTGGCCTTTCTCTGTGATGCCAGCACTTAGCACAGGGCCTGGCCCATGGTTGGATGACTTGTTGACCTGCTCCAGGCTCAGGGTCCTCGAGGACAAGTTCCTTCTGTGCCAGGGCAGTCTCCAGGGCATGAGATACACTGAGTGGCAGGAGGCCCAGGTCCAGCTCTTCCCTGTGGAACACAGGAGGTTGAGATCCTGATGCCCAATGCAAGATCCCACATCCAACGGCCCCCAGGCTCCACAAGTAACGATTCTGTGCCTGTCAGGGTCATCCTTACACAGCATCTAACAAAGCACAGGCCTAGTTAAGTAATGTAAACATTCTTATCCACATTTTTAAAAAAGAGGAAACTGAGGCTCACAGAAGTTAAAGGGCTTGTCCACAGTGAGAGGAAGTGGTCGATGAACGTGGATCTTCTTACTCTTCCACTAGATCATACAAGTCATTTCAATTCTATGTGGCTCAGTTTCCTCAGCTTTAAAATAGGGACAAGAATAGCACCTACTTCACCAGGTTGCTGTGAGGATCAAACGAACAGAATGTATGTAAAGTGATACATAAATGCTATTAGAAACCTCACTGCCCCACGTACCCTGGTGGGTGCCCACTGGAAGGCCTCTCCAGGGCCTCCTGGAGCCATCACCTCAGCCACTCAGCTCCAGCCCACATCTCCACCTCCCTTATCTTCCATGTCCAGGGCCCCACCCTCATTTGACGTTGTGGTTACCTCGACCTTCTCCCTCCTTTCTTTACCACATCCCAGCCTCACCCATCTCATCTCCCTCAGTGGGATCCGTTCAATGAGAGCTATCCTAATTCTAGATCTAGCTCCAAGGCCTCCTTGGCCAGAGCCTCACGACATAGACCCCAAGGCTGACACCGTTGCCCACCGCCTAAATGCCCGCCAGCTAAATGCGTGCCACCTAAATGCCCACCACCTGAACCGTAGAACTTATGAAAGAGGACAAAACGGAAAAACCTCTCCACACCCCCCCACCCCATCCCCCTTCCCTATTCCTTCCCTCACTTTGGCCTTTCCCGGCGAAGTGTCTCTGCTGACTTCGGAATGGTGTCCCAATGCTTGGGCCCCTGGAGGGCACTTCGAGCACCAGGGCTCTCCAGAGGCTTCTCAGCACAGTGTGGTCCCAGGGTACAGCCCTAACAGCAATGGAGTCATGAGCATAAGGGACACATTGGGCTCTAGGGATTGAATGGGGTGAGCAATCAGGGCAGAGTATCAGGATTACCTGGATGCTTAAGAATTCTGAGAAATCTGTTGTTCGCTTATGGCAACAGGACCAACCCTAAGAAGAAAGGATCAGTTCAACCTGGACAGCCTGGCATACCCCTGCCACCATCATATCCTAATAAGCCATTCCCAGCACACTGGCTCACCTTAAGGGCATCGTGGAAGATGGGCACCCCAGGGTGATGGCGACAGCCATCTGTAGAGCAGGTAAGATCGAATGTGAAAGCAAGAAGGAGAAGGTGCTGTCCTGCCCCCACCCCTGCACCCTCCGCTGGAAAAAATGGCATGCTCAAGGCTCTATTTTTCCTACCCATCAATTGAGCTGAGTGGGGAGAAGCCTACAGTACTGGTTCCCCACATAACCCCCTTCAGTGCACTGAATTCACCACCTCCCCCCACAAAAGGCAGCTACTACTCACCTGAGAGATTGGCATCTGGGTTGAAGTGCTGCCCACAGCCTTTATTAAAGCAGAGCACAGACATGGCAGGGGCGGGGGAGGAGGTGGAAGGCACGTTGTGGCAGAATAGTCTTTTCAAGGGCCTGGTTGCCTAACATGCAAGTGCCTCTTACTTCTTACTAAACTGAAAGTTATGGCCTTCTGGAAGGCCCAGTGCCTATCTTTGGCTTAGAGGGCAAAGATCTGCAGGTGGCCTTGTCACTCAATGGCGGTAGCAGTGGGACTGGTCATGGGGGAGGGCTCAAGTCCAGGAAAAGAGGCTCCTGGGAGAATTGGATGTAGGCCAGCTTGACTCCACCCCCACCAAGACCTCAGAACCTTAAGAGGCAGGCACTCAGGAGCAGCAGGGGCAGTGCTAGTCCTTCAAAGCGCCTCTGACTCTGGCATTTTCCATCTGGCAAGAGATTCGGATCACAAGAAACAAACTGTCAGGTTCGAGTGGGTGCTCCCTCAGGCAAAGGTCACATGACTACCTGTCAGCTATGGTGGGGGGGGGGGGGATGATTTGGGTCGAGGCAGACTCCAAGGTTCCTTCCACCTCCAAAATGAAGGACACAGTTAACAGTGAGGTGCACTCCCTCCCCAAATCTTTCTAATGCACTGGACACACATTTCTCGCCATGCCCCCAACGCCAAAAAGATCTCTTCATATTCCCCTACCCCCAACAAAAGAGACAACACAGAAGGTGGAAAAAGGCTTAAAATCTGTTTTTAATAATAATGTTGCTGCTGCATTCCTGTCTCATTTCTCAAATAAACTCCAGACCGTGAGAGGGCCAAACATCACCTACACCAGTTCAAGTTGAACAGCACAGCTTCAGGAAGACAGGCAAGCCTTAGGAGCTACAGGCATGGATAAGAGAGCACCAGCACCCAGCAGCCCCTGCCCCTAAGCTAGCACTTGGACCGCCCAACAAGAAAGGGTGTTAACAATGCCACACCAGCACCTCCCAGAGGGAGGCAAAGCTCCTCCATTCTGGGCTGCCCCCCCCATCCAAGAAACAGAGAAGTTAAAAAACAAAAACAAAACAGATAATGGAAACCTAAAAGCAGATAACAAAACCTTCTTCTCAGGACATAAAAGGAACACTGGGTTGGGAAGAGGGAAGAGGTGTTCTACAGGTATTGTTGCCTGAATTTCATGGACACACCTGAGGTCCTAACCAGAGAGGAAATGGGGGTAAGGATTGTGTCTAAGTTACTGAGGGAGCACTGAGGGGAGAAAGGTGGAATGGTCAAGGGAAACAGGGATATAGCCGGGTCTGCTTGTGCCATGGCCTCCCCCCAACCCCTCTGTAGCCTTCACATTGAAGTTTTAGGAATGCGCCACATAGAACTGCTTCACTAAATGCCCCTCCCTAACCCCTCTCTGCCCTCAGCAAATTTCCTACCTAGAGTAGTTCGAGTGGGGAGGCCTAACTAGTAGGAGGAGCGGAGCCCCAACAACCCTCTATGGTAGAATCCTGGCTAGTCCAAAAAGGGTCCTTGTCTGCAGGGGTCAGGGGAAACTCGACACTGTGACTCTATTAGTATCTGCGACGTTTGTTTGGGCCAAAGTCCCCTCCAGGAGTTCCTCGGTTGAATGCGGGAGGGTTTCCACCCATTGCCCCAAGTCCTTCCATTGTACCACCCTGGCCAAAGCGGTCACTGGGAGGTGGGGTCTTCAGTGCCAAAGGAGAAAGGGAGAGAGGTGTTAAAGCACATCCCCTAACCCCGAGCTCCCCACTACCCAAAGTCCCTCTTCCCCTAAAAAGCTGCACAATGGGTCTCGTCTACCAAAAATAGAGCCGAAGCTATCAGGGCCTCTCAGCTTTAGGGTGACCGAGGCTGACGATTCCAGCAAGAAAAGTTGTCATAATCACCTCCCTGATAGCTCACCCCAATCTGTCATTGCTGACAAGAATCCAGACATTGTTTCACTGACTAAACTCCCTAAATTGGTCTTGTTTTGACCGCGCCTCTTGATTTGCGTATACTGGACTGACTCAGCATTCTTCTGGCCTAGACAACTGAACTGGACCAGGCCACAGCCTTTATAGACTTGGGCCTACCCAATACTGACCAAGGAGGCCCACAAGTGAAGCATGTTTCTAGATCACACACAGCAAAAATCTTTGGGCTCATTACATCAACCTCTATGTATGTCCACCCCTTTTCCTTGTCTTCCTCAAAGTAAAATGATCTGACCTTCCCCCTCCCCCACAGGAAACAGCTGAACAATCAGCTCCTACAGTAGCGTATCCAACTAAGCCCAAACAGTATCTCCTCGTGCACCAACTCAGGCAGTCTATCTGCACAGTTTGAAACGCTGTCTCACAGGGAACGAAGCTAAAGTGGAGTCCAAAGTACTGACTCTGGCTATAAACTGTGATTTGACAACTCCTGGGCTCTCGTTTCCTCTTTTTCAAAATGAGGAGGTTGGATTAACTGGCCTGGGAGGTCCCTTCCACAGAAAACAAGCACTGCCTCCCCCATTGGTCCAAGGTACCCCTAAGGCCAGCCCTGCAAATATATTACCATTCCCATGGTTCCATCTGGCATCATTGGACCAGGCCCTGGAGCACTTGGGGCACCAGCTGGCACATTAGCACCTCCCAGGGATCCTCTGTTGTTTATGCCCATAGCACCTAAAAACAGCAACGTAAGGAGCTGGGGGGACTGGGAACAAGGACATCAACACGATTATAACATTCATATTCCACGCACTCCCCAAGCTTGGGCAAGCCTCGACGGCTACACAAAGGACGTTGTGGCCTCTCCTACCCTCCTCTGATTACCAAAGCCAAGTCAAGCACGGGGAGGGCATGGGATAGGAAGGACAACAGAAGCTCCCTTCACTGCCCATAGTCAACTCTCAAGCCAGGCACCTGGCACAACAGGATGCCTTCCACACAGGGAGCGATCGCCTTGGCCCACATCTAATCGCAGCCACCAACTGCTTCTGTGTTATGCCACTTGTGTTTTGTTTTTTTTTTCCAATTTTCTTTTTGTAGACCTAGGTCCAAGGGAGTCTCTAACCCAACACTAAACCCCAGCAACAATGCTACCTGAACAGAGCAGCCACTGGAATCTGGGAGAGGTGAGAGGGAGGGGGAACGGCTGCAGGAGCCGCAGCCTCAAGTCCTTACCTCCTATACCCATCTGGCCCATCCGCATCTCCTGCTCTCTCTAAAATAAACAAAATGGCACAAAAGTTCACCAAAACCTCATCAGACCCACCACGGTTTTGTTCTAAGGATCATCTACTCCAAGCTGTCCACACGCCCCCCCACCCCCCATCCCCGGGAAACGGTTCTAATGGAGAAGCCTGCCAGAAAAGGTCCCCCAGCACACTGTGCTGAGGCGAAGCACAGGGAGAGGCAAGATCACCCCAGAGCTGTGGAGACATTGAGCTACAGGCTCTCCTGTTAGGAAGGGATGCCGGGTGTATGTATCACTATCACCCAGGATCCCAGACCAACAATCTGTCAGAAATACTTAGAGGGCACGAACAAAGGGCATTGGAGTCACCACGGAACTTAGATGCTAACCCAGAACCACAGGGGAGGACAGTGGCCCTAATTTTCACACTGAGCTCGAGACTAGCCCTTATCTAAACTATTTCTTCCTGCTTTGGGAATGCCCTGGGTCTGATACTAACATGACTGTGGCATGCCATATCTATCCCTGCTCAGTTGACTAGCATAAGCTCTCTAAACCCAAGCCTGACTCCCAGCGCTATTTCTCCTCCAAAAGGTTCTTTTGGTGAGCAGGGACTGGCCCTAGTGTCCTGTGGTATCCCAGGCACTGGTTCCTAGTTGGTGTGTTATGCCATGAATGAGCTGCCCGTCAGGGGTGCCCGGGCCTAAGGCACTCCGTACCGCATCGGGGAAGTTTCCTTTGAAGCCCTCCTGCTGCCTTCGCATCATTTCTTCCTGCTGCCGCCTCATCTCCTCCTCACGCCGCCTGCGTTCCTCCTCCTGCCTACGGGGAGTACAGGGAGTCAAGTCACCAAGATGCTTAGGACACACCAAAACAAAGTGATCTATCCCACATGGGATCCTACCAACCACACCAGGCTTTCTCTTCTGCCCTACTTCATGGGAAGGTCCCTCTCTTGTCCCTCAGGTGCCTATGGGGGACAGCACTAAAGCTTCCCTTTGGTGTAGTCCCAGTAAACTGCCACAAACCATAGCCAGCTTCCAGACTCACCTAACCAGAGAAAGGACCTGGAAACCGCACAAGTCTCAATCAATCAGGAGGTTTTACCTAAAAGGACTTAGGAAGAAAGGGGGAGGGGATTATTAAAGTACCTGAGCTCCATTTGCTTGCGTTTCTGCACCTCCTGGTTATGCAGCTCCTCCATCCTTCGAAGCTCTTCCTGGCGTCTCATCAAATCTAGAAGAGGGGACATTAGCCAACTGACATCCAGAGAATTTTTCACAACCAATATTCCCGTTTACCCAGCCATGTCCATTTCCATGTCAGAGGCTGGCAGATTTAGGACTGGAAGATACCACCTCAGAAACCAATTAAGTTAATCCTCTCATTTTAAAGATGAGAAAACTGAAGCCTAGTGAGGAGAGGTGACTCCATAAGGCCACATCAAAGGCAGGACTGGAACCCAGGCCTTCCTGACTCCAAGTCACTACACTACGCTGTCTCCCATGGCTGAGTACATCCTCCAAAAGGAAGCCTGACACTCTGCAAAGGTTACCGGCACCCAAAATGAGGAGAAATCAACAAGGCATTACCAAGTTCCCATCTTCTGCAGACTATGTTCACTAATTGACTAGGCCCCTTCTAGAAGCCCTTTCGGTCCTCTCAGGGCCCTCCACTTGCAGGCCTCACTCACCCTGCCTCATCAGCATGACCTGGTGCTCATGGCGAGCAGCCTCCATCTCCATCTCCAGTTTCTCTCTGGCTTCCTTGATGTTTCGGTCTACTTGGTCCTGCTGCTGCTTCTCCATCTCGATCAGGGCTTTCCAGCGCATGGCATACTCATATTCAAAGGAGCCAGGCTGGGCAAATCGAGGTGGCTGCTCTCGCTCCCTGGTAACACGAAGGCCTGCGGTCAGCTTCTGCCCTAGGATTCCTACCCGACAACTACAATCTCTCGAAGGGCAAACGTTATGTTAGAAAACCCCTGGCCGTTTCTTCTAGCCCAAATTACACAAAATCAGAAGCTTAGCCTGCCTGTCTCTCATGCACCCACAGACCTAAGGCACTCTCCTCCCTTCTTTCTTAGAAATGAATGTGCGACCGCTTAAGAGATCACGTACTTGTGAAATTGTTGGTTCTTGATGACCAACTTCTCTGGGAGCCCTTCTTCATCATCGAGCTGGTCCATCGGCTCCACCGTCACTGGCCGAGGAAATCTGGGAGACAGGAAAATGTCTTCAGAGTTAGTCGAGAAGGAAGCACTTGGCATAACAAGGTCAGCGTCAGCTGGGGCTCAGGACGGGACTGACTAGAGGAAAGCAACCAAAGAGAGGTCCTGAGAAGCCCTAGGGCCGATACCCACAAAACAATCAGCCTGCAGTGACCTGAACGCCAGCTACAAAGGCGTCATTCACAACAGGCAGAGAGATACACCATCAAGAATCTAGAAGTATTCCAAGAAC